TCCATCATCTTCCTCCTTTCCAGGAGGTCTCAAAGCAGGTTTGGGGGATCTGGTATCAGTTCCTACCCCCAGAACTCCGTAGTTCTGCTGCGGGCTCTCTTCTCCTCAACTCTCCTTCCAGGAGTCTTCTCTGCGGTGCTGCCTGTCTCTGTTGCTCCGTCTTATCTCTTCTGGCTCTCTGCCACCGCTTCTCCGGTCAGTGCCAGCTTGGCTGCTGCTTTCTCCGGCCGCTGCCCAGTTTGGAGAAAACATCTCCCAGCTCACAACTACAGGTACCTAGCCCAGCTGTATGCTGTTCCAGGTCCCTGTCCTGTAGCCCCCATCTGGGGCTGGGGGGCCCCAGAGGCCCTGAGGGGCTCCGGTCCCCTTTCCTCGTGGCTGTTACATCATGGCTACTTCTTCTACCAACCAAACTACAACTCTTCTCTTCCGGTGCTTGTGATATGTTTACATTTCTGCAGGAGCGCTAATTGGGCAGAACTTCAAAACTTCCAGGGGTCTCCACCCCTGGGGGTTACCACTTTTTCAGCCTCTGGGGGAAAACAAGGTTCAAACCACTACAGACGGAAATTACTGACAAATAATTTCAGGTTAACAAACTGATTAATGCACGTTGCTCCATCCACTCAAGGACTGGAAAACTGAAGCAAAGCTCAACCAAGTCTTGACTCAGATGGCAACCAGGGCCTCCAGTTTTTATTTGATGTTATTTGGGAGATTGTTTGGAGTACCATGTTTGCTCACATTCAAGTTTTTGGGGCAAGCTTTAAGCAGCAGCAGAAGAGCTCAGTGGGTTTTTAGGAAAGTGGAAATCTGGGAGAGATTTTCCTGCTCAGAGCCCTGGCCTATATGGCAAGAAAACATGACATTCTCTGGTCATCTGAGAGCCAGAAGTGATCAGTCAGATAATTAGAAGGGATGATGATTTGATTTCCTTCCCGTTTCTGACAAAGAAACTAAGAATTGCTTTATTTCACTGATCTCAGTGATTCTGATTAAATCCTTTTTTTTTTTTTCTGGTACCACCTAACTCATCTTCTCCACAGAGGAAGATCCCTGTGAATGTAAATCCATCGTGAAATTCCAGACCAAAGTTGAAGATCTCATCAATTCATTGCAGCAGAAATATATCCTTTGGGAGCTGGGCTTGTCCAGCCCTTGCTGGCTTGGGTTGTGCTTTCTGCTGGGACCAGCAGGGAAATTCTACTCCTGGGGGATGGAGGTTGGGAAGGAAGCTGGAAACGAGACTTTTGGGTTGTTGGATGTGGCATTTTACGCTCTGGTCTGGTTGACAAGGTGGGGATTGGTCAAAGGTTGGACTTGATGAGCTTGAAGGGCTTCTCCAGCCTTAATGGTTCTCTGATTCTGTGAAGGTGGGTCATTTGTGAGACTGCAAACTGCAGGGTTTGTCCCCTTGACTGTATGATCTGGATAATTCAGATGGATACATCCAATAGTCAGATCTAAACTGGGCTAAAACTCAGTTCTAGGAGATAAATTCTCACGTAGCTGCTCGGTGCAAACATCTCCAGCCAGGTGACTTTGATCCCATCTCAACCAAGTCGTTGGGAAATGCCTTTTTCCACGCTGGGTCCCGTCATGTTGCACAAAGATCACGAATAAGGTGGAAAGAGAAACAAGAAAACAAAAGAAAAAAAGATTGTGAGAAAGCTTCAAACTTCTCCTGGAGAGAGGAATTTGTAAAGCCTCACAGGGGGCTGGGGAGGTTTTTCACCGCTGAGAATAAGGAGAGGGTGTGATTTTAACAGCGATGTTCTGATTTATTCACACATTTCCTGCTTTGCTGTGTCACTCGCTGGTTTAGTTTCTACTCTTTAAGTCAAACCGAGTGAAATCCGCGACTTGTGTTCTGCGAAAGGTCACAGGAAATCAGCACTTCTCACCCAGGGTGTCGCTGCTCCCGAGCCCATGGTGAGAAGCAATTAGTGAAACGAGCAGAAAATTGCTACAACACCCTTTGTAGCTCCCAGAAAAGCACTTGGCTCCTCTCTCCAGGATGCTCAGGGTCAGGAACTCCCTGTCAGCCACTCCAAACACCTCCAGTGGTTCTCACAGGTTTTACTCTTCCCTACAAAGGTGTGACAGGGGTGTGTGCACAGACCTTTCCTACCTTCAGCAGAAGGTCAGCAGCTTGAAGAGTTGTGGAAATGCCAGAGTGGATGAGACATTCCCTGTGCTCTCAGCAAGGCAGCACCATCCCACTCCTTGTCAGTCAGGGAGGACTGAAGAAAGGAATCGTGGAATCATGGAGTGGTTTGGGTTGGAAAGGACCTTAAAAATCATCCAGTGCCACCCCCTGCCCTGGGCAGGGACACCTTCCACCAGCCCAGGTTGCTCCAAGCCCTGTCCAAGCTGGCCTTGGACACCTTTCAGCCCAGTGCTAAGATCTAAACAGGTGATGAAGTGTAGGAACCTGGAGGTGAGTTGAGGTCAGACTCTCCCAAAGTGCTCTGTAGGAAAGAACAGCAAACCCCAGTGTTTGGAAGGTGCAGCAAGAGGGAGAGTCTGTCACACACTGGCAGTGGGAATGATGAGCCACTAAAACAAACAGTGGAAGATCATGGAATCACAGAATCCTGGAATGGTTTGGGTTGGAAGGGACCTTAAAGCTCATCCAGTTCCACCCCCTGCCATGGGCAGGGACACCTTCCACCAGCCCAGGTTGCTCCAACCTGGCTTTGGACACTTCCAGGGCTGGGGCAGCCACAGCTCCTCTGGGCAAACTGTGCCAGGGCCTCCCCACTCTCCCAGGGAGGAATTTCTTCCTAATATCTAATCTAAATCTGTCTTCATTTGGTTTAAAACTCACTGTCTGTCCATGTCAAAAGTCACTCTCCCAACGTGCACTGTCATTTTTCCTCCTTGACTCCTGCCCACTGGAAGCTCTGGCAAAAAGGATCGAGGCCCTGGAGAACAAGATCATCTAAAGTCCCAGCACAGGATTTTTTACCTCCTTCCTAGAACTCCTCCACTTGTCAGGGAGGGCAGCTCAGCCACAGAGCTCTGGCCAGCTTGTATTTGAGTTCTAGAATACCTGCATTTGTTTAAAAGGGAAGAAATATAACAGTAGAGCATTGTATAATGGGCAGAGCACTGTGTATTGCATCATATAGAGTGCATATATTAAAAGGAAAAAAAACCTGCAAAGATTTGTTTTTGATTTAAAGCTTAATATATATATGTGTGTTAATAAGTCCTGGATGATGAGCTCTGTGAATCCTCTCTGTGTTCTTCTGCAGCTTCTGTTTCTGTGCATGAGATAATTTAATTTAAAAGTCAAAGTGACTTCAAATCACCTCAGCTGCTGAGTGGAAAATGCCAAAGGTGATCACCTTGTAGTTGGGAACATGATGAGTCTGGCAGTAAGAGAAGTACAGCAGTGAGCCCTGAGCGTGAGCTGGGGGTGGGATGGGATAGGCTGGGTTTACCCAGGGCTGTTGTACAGGGTAGAAAGAGCAAAGCTCGGCTTTCCCAGCCACTGGATGGTCTCTCAGTGGCCCAGGGATGGAGCTCCTGCTCTGGGTGAGTCCTGACAGTGTGCAATGATCTGTGTGACACCATCTCTGGTGTGCTCTGTGTGAAGACAGCCCAGATGTCTCTCCACATCCTCCCCTGGAGCTTCAAAGCATCACCAGCACCTGAAACACAGGGAACTGCTGCTGGAGCTGCCCATGGAAGAGGTGACTCCATTGCTGTGTCATCCAGAGCCTCACCGGCTCCTCCTCAGCCCACGGAGTCACAGAATCCCAGGATGGGTCAGCTTGGAAGGGTCCCCAGTGGCCCATCTGGTCCCACATCCCTTCCTCAAGCAGGGCCATCCCAGAGGACAGGGGACAGATGGTTCCCACACCTCTAAGCACCTTCAAAGCCACCAAGTTCATCTCCAGACCTTTCAGCCCCTCCTCCTGTCCCTGGATTCCCAGCATTGGCAAGACAAAGCAGCAACGTGGACTGGGAGCACCTCAGACCTGCCTGTCTCCTGCAGCTGTAGCCTGGAATTCAGTCCTGGGAGGAATGGGGGCCCTGGAGACCCATGGAATGGTCACACCCTTTGGATGTGAGCACAAGGAGCTGGGTTTGAGGGGAGGGGGGTGTTGTGGTTTTATTTTTTGTATCAAAATATTTATACTTGAGACTATGTGAAAAGCTTTTCAGAACGACTTGGCCTGTTCAGAAATAGTGTTTTGGGGGAATATTAAAAGTTTGCTGTGAATTTTAAAAGTGAATTTCTTCTTTTTTTCGTGGGGTTGTTGAGGTGGTTGCCTGACAACAGCAGCTCTCAAGAGTGGGGAGGAAAACCCTCCATCTCGTGTCACAACCTCTTATTTCAGTGCACGAGAAGAAATGGGTCCGTAGAGGAAGCAAAATCCTTCTCTCAAAATAAGAAAAAGCATCTTTTATAATAAAAATCATCCTACTCTTGAATGTGCAGGAATGAGTCAAGCATTAACTCAAGGACTGCAGTCAGTTCTTGAAAGCAAAACCTCACCCTCTCAGCCAAATCTTGAGCACCCCAGAATCCAGGGGAACCCCTCCAGCTCCTGAACTGCTGCAGATGAGATTCCTGTTTAGTTTTACACACATAAAATCCAGAGCTGGAAGATTAATGTTAATTTGTGTCTCAATAGAAAGAGATACACAGGGTGCACTTGTCAGGATTATCCAAAGTGCATGTTTAGTACAACAAAGCAGCACCTGAAACCTCCTTTTAATAAATCTTTCTAAATTATAACAACCCCTTCAGATGTGCAACTAGCTCTTAAACACCTCCCCCAGGGTGAGAGAATCACCTCTACTGCCCTCCAAGGAATCCTTTTCCAAGTTATCACAGAATCCCAAAATATTCTGAGTTGGAAGGGACCCACAAGGATCATCAAGTCCAACTCCTGGTCCTCTTGAGACCAAAATGAGAATCCAATTCTTAGGTGATTTATGTGGAATCACTTCCCATGATACCTATAATGGGAGCAGAAAAACCTCCTCAGGAAGCAGAGGAAGCTTCTGAATATTCTGATTTTCAGGCGTTTTTTTGATCAGGCCCTCAGAAAGTGAGTTCCTGCCACACAGCACAACCTCACCTGGCTGGCAAAGAAATGGGGTTACAGCCAAGTGATGATTAAAGGGGGGCTAAAAGAAAGCAGGGGACAGATTTTGTAGCAGGACCTCTGCAACAGGACAAGGGGTGATGATGATTTTAAACTAAAAAAGAGCAGATTCAGACCAGAGAGGTGGAGGAAATTTTTTATGATGAGGGTGGGGAGGCCCTGGCACGGGTTGCCCAGAGAAGCTGTGGCTGCCCCTGGACCCCTGGAAGTGTCCAAGGCCAGGTTGGAGCAACCTGGGCTAGTGGGAGGTGTCCCTGCCCATGGCAGGGGATGGTCTGGATGACCCTTAAAGGTCACTTAAACCACAGCTCAGGGCCCGGAAACCTCCCTGCTTGCCAGGCTGACTCAACAGGTGAGGTGGAGAGGAAGTCTGTGAGTCTTATTTATTACCTCAGAAATGAGATGAGACTTTAGCTACGTCAAAATTGTTGTGTTGTGACACGGGATTCCAAAGCAAACCCAAATTTTGGCCATTAAAGTTGCTATTTCTTTTAGTTTCATACCCCTGGAGCTCATCTGGTCCTCATGGTTTAATGCAATGTCCAGGTCACTTGACATATTTCTGGACTTCTAATTTTTTACTCTGTTTTTCTCCTTTTCCTTTTTTCTGTCTCCTCAGTCTTAACAGCTGATCAGAGGCAATTCCCTTCCCTCTGATAAGATGACAACAGCATTATTTTTCTTTTATTTTCAGCTCTAATCACTTTGCCCATCATGGAAATGAGCTCCTGTAGTTAATTTTCTTCTGTGCCTCTTTAGTCTTGAAACGCCTTAAAAGCAAAATTTAATCGCCCCAGGAGCTAAAAGATGGATTTGATTTTAATTCGTGCCATGGAAATATCTCTGTCTTAGGATATTACTGTTGTCATCCTGCAGATGTTTGCCTGACTTTTTCAAGTGATGGGATAAATCCCTGTAAATCAGGGATTGGAATTTTGCCTCCACCACTCATCCCACCTTGCCCGTTTAACCCAACAACTCCCAGAAAACTCCTTTGTTTGGGGAGCAAAACAATCTCCAGCCCTTTTTAAGGTAGGACTGTACCTGGGGGGCAGTGACTCAAATTGGGATGTGAAAGGCATTTTTGCAAACCTCTGGGAGATGTGGAACCTTCCTAAATCATGGAGCCTTCCTAAATCATGGAACCTTCCTAAATCATGGAACCTTCCTAAATCATGGAGCCTTCCTACATCATGGAGCCTTCCTAAATCATGGAGCCTTCCTAAATCATGGAGCCTTCCTAAATCATGGAACCTTCCTACATCATGGAGCCTTCCTAAATCATGGAGCCTTCCTAAATCATGGAGCCTTCCTAAATCATGGAACCTTCCTACATCATGGAACCTTCCTAAATCATGGAACCTTCCTACATCATGGCTTGGAACCTTCCTAAATCATGGCTTGGAACCTTCCTACATCATGGCTTGGAGCCTTCCTACCTCATGGACCCTTCCCAAACCATCAAATTCCTTGTTTCAGAGCAAAGTTCCTGGGGCTGCAGGGAAATGCCTTCAAATGCAGCCATAAAATCTCTTGGGTTTGGGTTTTTTTATGGAGAGAGCACAATTATATCAGGCTTTCCCTAATTATCCTTCCCAGAGTTTACCTGTTCATCCATCCTCCCATCCCATCCCATCCCATCCCATCCCATCCCATCCATCAAGAAACAGTCTCCACAGTACATATACACACCAAAGTATATATAATACATATATATATTTATTATACAAAGGACTATCTAAATTATATTGTGTAATTTTATATAATTATATACCTTTACATAATTAAAACACTATATTAATATACCAATTATAATATCTATATAATTCCATATAATTAAAATATGATATCAATATACTGATTATAGTAGTATGTCTTGATATAGTAATTATAATATTATATAATATTATGCAATAGATAATTATATCTTGTATTATATTATATTATTATATTATCTATATTATAATTATATTATATATTATATTTTATATATATACTATAGTATATATAATATATATTTATTATATAAAGTATATATAAATTACATTATATAATTTTATATAATTTATATAACTATATCATTAAAATATGATATTAATATACCGATTATAATATTTATATAAGTTTACATAATTAAAATACAATATTAATATACTGATTATAATATTATGTCTTGACATGATAATTATAATATTATATAATATTATGCAACATATAATTATATCTTATATA